AAGGAGTTGAGAGATTGAGGTCTTAGCAAATCCATAAGATGTAGAGGGATGTTATGTATTTGAAAATCAAAGCTGGTTGAAAGGTTTGATTTGAAAGTCACATAATCTCTTAATACCCTTCTATATCTTGCTAGTGAATTCTGGATTAGTCTCTTTGCGTTTTTGGTATGTTCTTTGTCTCTCTTGATTTGTCTGATTTGTTTACATTTTTTTTATTTATTTCTGGTTTCTTTTTAGATTTTCTGATTTAATTTTTATTTTTTTTAAAAAGCGTCGTCTTTTAAAAACACGCTAAAAAATGGCCGCTTAAGTGAATTCGCGCTCGATAAATTTTCAAATTTTCACCCGTCTTTGAAAATCTTATCTCTCATTACCAAGCGTCGTCTTTTAAAACACGCTTAAAAAAGTCTACTTAAGTGAATTCGCGCTTGTCAAATTTTCAGATTTTCCCCCGTCTCTGAAAACCTTATCTCTCCCTCCTTGAAACCCTCCTGCACTTTCTAAAACACCCTCATGAAACTCTCTACAAAATCATCAAAAGATCGATATCAATCAATAAAGGAGTTGAGAGATTGAGGTCTTAGCAAATCCATAAGATATATAGGGATGTTCTGTATTTGAAAATCAAAGCTGGTTGAAAGGTTTGATTTGAAAGTCACATAATCTCTTAATACCCTTCTATATCTTGCTAGTGAATTCTGGATTAGTCTCTTTGCGTTTTTGGTATGTTCTTTGTCTCTCTTGATTTGTCTGATTTGTTTACATTTTTTTTATTTATTTCTGGTTTCTTTTTAGATTTTCTGATTTGGTTATCAGGAGATGAGGAGGAAGCTTGCAGATTTATAACTTTTTCTTTTGCAGGTTTTCTATGTGAGTCGTATGTTTTTTTGTTGTTGAAAATTTGCAGGTTCTCGATGGTCTTTTTTATGCTCATTTTACAAGTTTTCTATGGAAATATGGACCAATGGTCAAATTTCTCTTCCACCTAATTTTTTATGTTTATAATCTTAGCTTTTTTTTTTTCTTCTCTTTGTCATTTTGATTTATTTACAGGGATGATGGAGGAGACTTCAGTTGTGCATCATTTGTATGTTTGGATGAGGAATGCTTGGATTAGGAGTAC